AACAGTGAAAAACATTTGCAGAGCGATTGCATGCATAGATTCAAAGATCTTTCTGGTGAAGTTAACTTCACATATAAATGTATTAAATGTTTAATTATTAATTAAGAAAAACATTATTTCGCAATTTAAAAAAAAACAATGTTTTAAGTGTTCGTTTTAAGACTGTTGAAGGCCCTGACTTGAAAAATAAAACAGAAAAAGTTACCCATTATTTACATTAATAATAGTAATTGATTTAGGCTATTTTGTTTCTTTGAGTAGCCTGTGTGTGCGTTTAGTTGGAACCTGACACTCGTGTCACAAATCCAGTCAATCAACAAGTAAGCTAACTGAAACCCTCTGAGAATCTGAAATGAGCAGTTCCTATCCTCCTTAAAGGACATTCAAGCTTTTGTAAATAATGGGATTGAGTAAAGCATGGCTGAGGTCCTGGTGATCGCTATCGCAGAGCGCGCTCAGGTGGTTTCATGAGACAATGCGCATTTGTTGTCATCTGCTGCCGTCCCGCGTGCAGCGATGAGCTCCAAGCACCGGCCCGTCATTGTCTGCAGTCAGTTTTAGTGCCTCCGGCTCACAGGTAAAGATAATGACAGGACAAAGTGGGGCGCATTCTCACAATACAGTACCTATGATGATAGAATCTGTCGACATGTACGCTAACTTTTTAGATCAGCTAACTGAGGATGACAAGTAGGCCCACCTGAGGTAACTTGTCTCGTTGGTTGTGTAAGTTTTACCCACGCAACTGATGTGATGGCATCAACTACACTGTGCAGGAAGAATATTACTCAATTTTTTGTTTGTTAATAAAATTTGCAGTTTATGGTTGTTGTTGACTTTACTTGGAACGGCAACATAATGTATCTATGGAGGATATCTATAATACCTGGCAGAAGTTATTGGTAATTCCTCAGCTGGTCTTGGAAGTACATAACCCAGAGGCTTCCATATTTACCTCGTGTAGGCTTAGTTGCTTAGTTCCTGGTAGCTATATGTCATGTGATTGGTCATTTCTCAAAGAAAAAGGGGTCAATTTTATTATATTTAAGAGCAATTTGTAATCTAAAAATAATTTCTCACTGTTAAAGCACACTATAATTACATTAAGTACTTTGTCTCAGTCCTGATTTGTGGTTTTAGATTACAAACAATTTATCTAGCAGTTTAAGATTGATGACAAATTTGATATCCATTCAACCTTTAATTCAGAGTGAAGCATTGTGAAACAAACTCTATATTCCATCGTGGCAACACATTGCATTAGCTACCAAAGCGTGTCTACCTTTTTATGAGAAGTACATTTATTTAGAGACTTGCAGATATGATGTAGCACTGCTTGTCAGATATATGTGAGAAAAGCAGCTGAATAATTATATTATTAAAGAGACAAGAAGTATAATTTTTTAACAGAAATTATTAAAACAGACTTCCACTTTTGTCAGGTGGGTCAAACGTTTTTAGACCAGTGGTTGTCTCAACAAATTATATAAATTTAAATGATTAAAATGATTTAAATTTATTTATATTAACATAATGTTAATTAAAATGCAAAGAAAAACTTTTATCATACATTGAATTGAATATTGTCTTGAACAAAGGGGAGTAAAAAAGGTTGAGAACTACTTTTTTTTTATCTTATATGCAGAGATGGACTAGGATCTATAGCCTACTATAAACGTTGATTTTTTTAATACTATTTAGTGTTTTAAATAGCCATTTTTACATTGCAAAGACACTATTGAACAACTCAAATAAAAATAAAATTGCTATAACATGAAGGAGTCCTGTGTTCAAACCTCAGATGGGGTTATATTCTTTTTCAATAAACTATTGGACATACAGACCATGATGCCCAAATATTTCATTTAAACTCAAGACATTTTAGCATTTGTGGCAATAATGGCACCATTCTTTAAAACTTAACAAGGTTTCAGAGCAGACAAGCGTGAATTTAATTATCTTTTTCTCAAAGAAATACTGTAACAGTGTCTTTTGTTACATGCAAAACTGAAAAGGAGATGCCATGCCATGCCATGCTTTGTTGAAAAACTGTCACTTGACCTGGGCGTTTCTATTTACAAGGGATTGAAAAGCCAGGCAATGAATAGTTGCAGTTGAAACAGCAGTACAATTAGAGAAGAAACACCACTGTATTAGCAACTGCTAAGTAGTCCAAACAGATCCCAATCTTAATCCCAGAAACGGATTTATTGGGCTTAATCCTGTTGATGAAAACAGAATCCCACCTGCGTTCAGACAGCCCACCGCCCCAGGTGCAGTAAACTCACTAGACAAGGCCTTTCCCCCTCTGTCTCAGTAAAGCTCTGATGAATTGATAGTGTAGGACCTCGCTGGGCAACGTGCCTGGTCTGTGGTTGGTTAATTGGTCGGGGGAATGTTTTCCCACAGAAGCCAGAATCAAATGTATAAAGGTCATGAATAATTAAAAGAGTGAATGCAAAGTGGGTTTTGTTGGTCTGAATGTCAAGCAAACTTCTCACTTCAGAAAGACTTAAATAACATTCCTTCTGTGAAAGAAAAGGGACTCCAAGTGCTACTGACTTGTTATTTGATACATAGTCTTTGGTTCTCACATTTAATATTTTTTAAATATTACATGTAAGATAAACCTTCTACAGTTTGTGCTCTGATTCTCTATGGAGTTCAGACACTTGTGAAGGAAGGAAGAGCAGAAGGCACGAGACACAGCTTCGATCTCTGTAGACAATGGGATAAAGAGAGATCTGTTATCTTAATATCATAATGATTTAATGGCAATTGGCAAATTGGCAAGATTAGTTAATCCTACTGTCTACATTTATAATCTTGATGTCTCTAAACATGCCCTCGGACCCCATTTGACATTTAGCCTTTTTCTGGACAGGAGCCAACATGAGCAACTTTATACAAATGGTACACGTGTTATTTGCTCAGTTTGAAATCATTGTAAAATATGTTAGTTCATGATCTGGTTTCCTGGCATCTTTGTCTTTAGACGTCCTTGTATAATATGCAGCATGTGTTTTAAGCACTGTGCTGAAGAGACGTGTCAGACCATCACGGCTGTGTCAAATGACCAAAATGTGAATGTGTTCTGACTGTGACATTAATACCTTGAGTGACATTCGCCATGACTTGTTTCTAAGCAGCTGGAAAGAAGACCCTACGTATATACACATGATATCACAGCAGAAATCTGGCAACAGACACAATCATATGACCTTTAGTTAGAGAGTCCTCCACTGTGTCAGCTGATGGAATCTTTTTGACTGCAGGCAATACAATCTTTTGCCTTCCTCACTAAACCTGCGCCGAAACATAGCTGCCAAATGGTATGTCATTGGAAGCTGAAATGAAAGGCTACAATATACCTACAGTATATATACTGTAAAAGTTTTGTACAGTCTATATAATGTATGTGTTTTGTACGTCTGATGGGTTTTTTTTTTTTGTATTGTACAATTGAATGTTTTGTTTGAACTTGCGATGTAATTGAAAAATAAAGGCTTTCAAGGACTTACACAACTATTACAACTATATGTGTATTTGTATACATGCATTTATTTTATTTAAAAAAATACAGTAAAATGCTGTTTGTCAATGTACCACCTACAGTACTCATGGTATTTGGTTGCAAATGTCCTTCTTGTGATGACTGTGATTACAATGTGTTTTTCTTCTCTTCTCTTTTCATTTCTTTTCTTTTTTGCTGTAAGGGGTTCAAAGCTGAGAAGGGTGATGTTCTATAAAATGAAAAAAAAATGTAAATAAAATGTTAAAAGAATAATGCCGTAAAAATGGTAATATTTTGAGAAAAAAAAATATCACAATTTAAAATAATTGTTTTCTATTGCTTGTAAAATATGTTAGTTCATGATCTGGTTTCCTGGCATCTTTGTCTTTAGACGTCCTTGTATAATATGCAGCATGTGTTTTAAGCACTGTGCTGAAGAGACGTGTCAGACCATCACGGCTGTGTCAAATGACCAAAATGTGAATGTGTTCCGACTGTGACATTAATACCTTGAGTGACATTCGCCATGACTTGTTTCTAAGCAGCTGGAAAGAAGACCCTACGTATATACACATGATATCACAGCAGAAATCTGGCAACAGACACAATCATATGACCTTTAGTTAGAGAGTCCTCCACTGTGTCAGCTGATGGAATCTTTTTGACTGCAGGCAATACAATCTTTTGCCTTCCTCACTAAACCTGCGCCGAAACATAGCTGCCAAATGGTATGTCATTGGAAGCTGAAATGAAAGGCTACAATATACCTACAGTATATATACTGTAAAAGTTTTGTACAGTCTATATAATGTATGTGTTTTGTACGTCTGATGGGTTTTTTTTTTTTGTATTGTACAATTGAATGTTTTGTTTGAACTTGCGATGTAATTGAAAAATAAAGGCTTTCAAGGACTTACACAACTATTACAACTATATGTGTATTTGTATACATGCATTTATTTTATTTAAAAAAATACAGTAAAATGCTGTTTGTCAATGTACCACCTACAGTACTCATGGTATTTGGTTGCAAATGTCCTTCTTGTGATGACTGTGATTACAATGTGTTTTTCTTCTCTTCTCTTTTCATTTCTTTTCTTTTTTGCTGTAAGGGGTTCAAAGCTGAGAAGGGTGATGTTCTATAAAATGAAAAAAAAATGTAAATAAAATGTTAAAAGAATAATGCCGTAAAAATGGTAATATTTTGAGAAAAAAAAATATCACAATTTAAAATAATTGTTTTCTATTGCAGTATATTTTAAAATGTAATTTTTTTAGTAATGACAAAGCACATTTTTAGCAACCATTAGTCCGGTCTTCCGTGTCACATGATCTGTCACCCTGGGTGCGATGTTGCTGAATAAAAGTAATAAGTGGAAGGTGTCAGAGAGTGAGAGAGAAAGTGCTGCGTGTATTACGTGATGTGTAACACCGTTCTATTTATAACAAATCATAGGGCCTGTGGTGTACCGCTCTTACTCGGAAGGACACACTTCAAAGGGCATTTACTATGCCTCAGGCTACTGAAGTGGTGTGACAGGCTAACTGCTCTGGGACTTTTGCACTTTCACACCATTGAACAGGTACTGTACAGATTTCTGCTGTGAGTTTAATATTAGATTTATATTATTGTTCACACCAAACAAAAATAAATGTGAACAAAAGCAGTGGATTCTGCATACTTGGTTCCCCATGCAGTTTTACCTGTGATGAAGTAAAGAAAATTTTGAAAAACAGTGAAAGAGTTCTGTTTGATTGTATGCATGATTTATTTTGATACTGAAAAAAGATGGATTCATTTAAAAGATAACTTTAGTAGTATTTTGTAATGCAAAATATTTAAAGCTTGAAATAATTGCAATTGTAGTTTGTGCAATGTTTTTGAGCTTTAGAGCACCTTGCTTCTGAAAAATTGATTTAAGTATGTTGTTTCACGATTTGTGGTTGCAACATCTGTTTATCAGAATAAGTTTAGATTAATTAGGTGTCAATTGATACTGGTTGTGCCATTCCTATGATGGCAATAAAAACATCTATATTTTTGCATTTTCCCTTTTTTTTTTGTCAGACTATTTATTCATGTCATTCATTGATTATTATTGTTTCATTTGTAGATTCAGAATATCCTGCTTATCATCCATTCACGATGGACGACTTTGAATACAGTGTGCACATCTCCGACCAAGACTGGGACTGTTTTTTTCAGGAGTGTGAGGACTGTGACCTGGTCTCTCCAGTGCTCGCCAGCCGAGAGGACTCGGGTATGAGTGACATTGATGAGATGGGCTGCCTCCTTCTAAGCAGGACCCCGGCCGTGGGTACAGCATCCATAGACCCTGATCCAGACCTTCAGATTGATGGCCCGCCAGACTGTGAGGGTTCACCTGTCTGTAATTACCTCAGCAAGTACGGAATACGTAGTCCAGAGCAGGTTCTCTCTGGCAGTGAGGAGGACTTGCACCTTCAGACTGTCAATCTGTTCTTTGAGCAGTTAAAAAGTGTCACAGAAAATCAACAGCCCTTGGAACAAAGCCATGTTATCATTCGTGGAAGTGAGAAGGCAGGCCATCTGGAGGGTTTGATTGATAAGCAGGATATTCTGTCTGCAGACACTGACCCATCTGGCCAAAATGAGGCCAATTTTAGAGGAGAAATAACTAAACAGGGTGTGGCTCATACCTGGGGCGATATAGTCTCAGAAAAGTCATTAGAGATCACACCTGCTAATGCACAAGAAGGTGCATCAAAGTCTGACACAGAGCTAGTCATTGGAAGGAAGATATTGACAACACCCCTAATTACAGTAAGAATGAAGCAAGAGAAACAGGGAAGATGTAGCGGTCTCAGCAAAGATCTAGAGCTTACACCTGAAACAAAGCCACCTGACAAAGAGAAGATGGTACTGGTTAATAGGAAAGATGTGATTGACCCATATCCAGCAAGACAAAACATTGCTCAACTGGATGCTATAAGTTGTTCTGACTCGAAAGATTCACCAATCGGTCAGATCCCAGTCTCACCTTCCAGAAGAAAGAGGAGGAAGAAAAAGAGAATGAGTGTTGAACCAGTAGAGCAAGGACATGAGGCTCAGATCCACTACCAGCAAAGTGAATCAGAGGAAGAGAGATTTATTCAGCGGGAAGAGATAAGCAACCTTCCTGCAAATGTCTGGAAGACAGAGCAACTATCACTTCAAAGAATGAAAACACCTTCAACTGCACATAATACTGATCATTTACAGCTAAGAAACACATTTGACTTGGAGGCCTCATCTGATTTTAAGTTTTCAAAAAGCTTGCCAGTATCTTTTACCAGTAATATAGGCACCACACTTCCAAAGCTGGAAGTTGGACGCATAAGCTTTAATACTATTTCCAAAAGCATGCATGATACATCCCTTGTAAACAATGGACAATTGAAAGCAAAGATTTGTGAGCTGTCATTATTACCCCAGATAGATAAAGTTCTGAATGTAAAAGAAAGTGGATTAAATATAACCGAATCCCTTCAATTTGATCCTGCCGTGCAGTTAAGAGAGAGCAGGAATGGTATTAGAGAGACCTTATCAGCACCTCTAAGTGATAATTCTGATGCAGGATGTCAGAGGAAATCCTTTTTATCTCCTAGCGTTTCCATGGCTGTTGATTCAACAGAGCCTCCTTCCTCTACGGCATCTTTTAAATTGACCGAGGACAAAGATTTATCCTGTTTAGGAAATGAGATTGACTGTTCTCCATTAAAAAATGAACAAACAATTCCAAGCAGTAGTAATATAGTAGAGATTTCAGCTCCCGAAGAAAGAAGCTTGTCTTTAACTGACAACATTGATAGAGCAGAATCTTCTTCAGATGGAAACGTTCCAGAAACCTTTGCTTGTTCACAGGAGGCTTCTCAAAAATGGAAAGCATGTATTCACGAGAACATTTCAGAATCTCAAAGCCATTTGACTTCTGAAACCACTGAAATAAACACGAATATACCTGTAAGTGAGTCAGATGTAAAGACTGAAAATCATATGTCTGATAATATTAATCATGGAGCAGGTGAAGGTGAAGGTCTTATCAAAAGTGGAAATAAAACTAGTGAGGTATTAATTGCGAATGCCTCATCCATAAAGCCAAGGAATTTAGACGAATCAGAAGATAAGAGAGACATTAGTGATAATGAAGTTGCTGTTTCAGCCAGGAATAATAGTGAACAGCTATTTTGTGGAAAGTCCATCATATCTAGTGGTCCTACAGAAGGAATGCTCACTGAAGATCCTACTCAAGATGTTTCAGAGTTGCCTCAAAATATGGTTGCTGAAATTAAGGACACTTCCTCCGGCGAGTTGAAAAGTGGAACCAAAGATCTAGAGATTGTTTCTCTTGATGCTTCAAATCAACTGCCATGTCCTGTGTTTGCTATCTCCTCCTTTTGGAATGAAATGGAGAAGCTAACCATCAATGACATACTCCGTCTGCGGTTGATCAGTAATGCCCAGCACCCCAGCATTTTGACCCAGCCCGAGGATGGTAGCATAGCAGACACTACAGATGCTGCAGACTCGGGCTACTTTACACAACCTGACGACTCTAAGCCGGACCGCTTAAGTGGAGACATGTCTTACATATCTGATCTGGATGAAGACCTTGCACAGCTTCAAAACCCATTTCCTTCTAAGCAAGAAGACGGGTCGAGTGAGTTTCCTAGCTCTTGTGGTGTGATGTGGGAGAACGATCCAGATCCAGTGATTGTGGGTGATGAAATGGTGCACATAACTTCTGAAACAGCTCTTCCTGAACATCTCTACACAGCAAATGCTCAGCAGTGCTTCAGAAGAATGTGTAAGAACATGTCTGTGCAGAATCTGCAAGCTCTAGATACTCAACCAATCGGACAAATCCTGAGAAATGCCTCGATGCATTCAATCCATTCAGAGGTAGAAGATGATTTTATGGATCCTTTTTACCATGTGAACACTTCAGGCTCAAAGATCTTTTCTGATGATGAAGAAGAAACAGAAAGCAGTGGTATAGCATTTTCTGAAATAATCCAGTATTTCTTTGGTGAGGATGAACCTGAACGGTGTGTGTCTCGTGCAGACAACATAGCTGCCTCGTACCTTGATGGTACCGGCACCTCATTGCCTGAGACCTATGACCATTTTTTCTCCGAGTTTGATTCTGGAAGTTTTGTTTGTCCAATTGTGGAAGAGTCAGGTGGTGATAAAATGGTTCCCATATTCTCCTGCTCCCACTCGGCTAACAGAAACCTTCAGTTCCCAGAGGCATACGACTATTTCTTCCCTGATTCCCCTGGGATTTCAGATGAAGATGATGAGAATGACAATGCAGCAATCAAGGTAGTGACACAGTATGACTATAAGTCTCCCAACCATGATCCTGTTGACATGTACGAGCACTTCTTGTCTGATGATGAGAGCGACTTCCTCTGGACGAACCCTCTTTCACTTCGAAAAGTTCGACGCACAGGTTATACTGTCCCCAAAGGGAACACATGTTCTGGGGAACTTCTCCCTGTGAAGACATTTCCCAAAGGAATCATTCAACCTATTAATGCTATGAGCCCTGATGGGAGCTCCTTTCCAGATTCCTTGCTCCTCAAGCTGGAGAACCGTATCTTCCAGCAGCTGGCTGAACAACAGAAGAAGTGTATGGAGATGCAGACAGTTGTTGCTGATCCAAGTAAGAACTTGTACCATGCAGTATTTTGCACATACACACTGAAACTGAAAATTGCACACTAACACTTTCTTGAAGGTTTTTTTTGTTGTTGTTCCTTTTAAACTAAAATAAGAAAATACATTGGTTTCTCTACATTTTCTGGGAATAATTTTGATGTTAATCAACTCTCACCTCTTTTCTAACAGTCAATAGCTGTTGACTAAGAGTATCTAGTCACATGTAGAGCCATGCCCGGGGCTGATGGAATGGTAGTACGTGCAAATTAGTCTTCACTCCTGCTGGGCAGCTTCTCAAATCGGCCATGTGCCAGAATTTAAGAACATGTTTCACTTTAAAGTACATGTAAAAATAGAGAAAACTCCAGGAACATTAGTACACTTATTATCATTTGGGATTCAGCCATAGATTATCATTCAATGTCAAATCACTACCTGCCTACCGATATTTTATTTTATTAAATTATATTAGAATTTAACAAATGGTTTTGTTAACACTTATTGATATATAAGAATTAATACTCAGCAAGGATACATTAAATTGATCAAAAGTGTCACTAAAGACTCTTACAAATGTTTCAAATAAATGCTGTACTTTTGAACTTTCTGTTCATCAAAGAAAAAATATATCACTGTTTCCATAAAAATATTAAGCAGCACAGCTGTTTTCAGCACTGATAATAATTAGAGATCTTTCTTGAGCATCAAATCAGCACATTAGAATGATTTCTGAAGGATCATACTGTAGACTGGAATAATGGCTGCTGAAAATTCAGCTTTGCCATCACATGAATAAATTACATTTCAAAATATATTCAAATACAAAACAGCTGTTTAAAATTTAAATAATATTTCAGAATATTGTTTTGCTCTATTTTTTAAAATGTTGAAATAATAGTGTATATCTCAGAGTGAGCTGGTTTGATTTATATTGATTTCAGGAACCCAGTTAGGTTTTGAATACATTATTGTGTACAGTTAGTTAGTTAGTTTTTTTTTTTTTTTTCCATTAAATGATACTGTACTGTTGTTCTGATTTTGGTGCTTCTTTTCTAGGGTTGGATGCTCCATTCTTGCCTCTTAAACAGGCAGACATGTGCTTGGTTTGTATTGCTTTTGCCTCGTGGGTGCTAAAATCAACTGGTTCAGGAGCAGACACCTGGAAAGCTGGTATGTGTTTTTATTTTCCTGGTTAGTCATTAATTTAGTCATTTGGTTACGTTTTGACAGTATTTATTTCAAATTTTATACTTTTCAAAGAAGAAATAGGTAAGCCTTTTCCCTGGTAAAAAGCTCTCGTCACATAAAATTTAGCAAAATTTTGATTTAAAAGAAAGTTTGATTTAGGAATACAATTGATAGTAATCCTTAATGACGTATATCTGTTTTTTTTTTTTTTTAATCAGCTCTTCTCGCGAACGTCAGTGCACTCTCTGCCATTCAATATCTGCGCAGACACAAGAGGGAGGAGGTCTCTGGAAAAACTCCTTTGCGTCAGATAGAGCCAGCATAACTCCGTGGCACAGCACAGCCCTCAGATCTGATTTCAGTCACATCTCCCTTTTTCCATGTAATCCAGAAGGGTGATTTTGAATGTCAGACATGTGCATGCATGACTTTTTCCATCATTCTCAGTACATATTATTATGATTAACACTCTGATGTGTGTTTATTGCTGATGAACTCAGTTGATATACAATAGATGTAGCAAAATATGAGAAAAAAAATGTGACTTCAGGCCAGTGGCATTTCAATAATCTGCACATCCAGATTAAAAAAAACAAAACAATGTAGTTTGTTTATGAAATGACCAAAGCTCTTTTTCTGATTCTGAGATATTGTGGATTCTCTGTTTGCAGTGAATGCTGTTGTGCGTTGTGAGGAAAGCAGCAGTATGTTGATTAATATTTGATAATGAGATGCTTATGAAGGTGTTATGATGGAAGATGGACATGTGTGTCTAAGTAAGTGTACCTGTGGAGAGATTTTAATGGAAGAGCTGATGTCTATGTACAAATAGACAGTTTATTGTGATACTATTGGGATAATGGAATTTTTGCTGTGCCAAATTATTTTGGTGTATTTATAGACCATCTAAATATCCAATCATAAACTTATGTGATAATGTCACTTCATATCTGAAAACACAATTTGATTCGTTCAAATTTCAAGCATATGGTGCTCCCAGTTTTCAATATCATGTAGGATAAATAAATCTTATGTTTATTTTAAGCATTTAAATGAGTTTAAAGTGCGTTTTATTTATCAGTACACCTGTATGTTAATAGTAATGCTTATTTTGGCCACTAGAGGGTACTATGCAGCCAATCGTACTATGAGCCAGTCTAAGGTAAGAAACTTTTTTTTTTTTTTTTTTACAAATTGTAAAATTAAACATTTGTTATAATTGAGGGGAACTAATATTACAGTTTTTATGGAAATAGAAACTGAGATTTGTGCTAATAGTTGTATTTGCTTATTACCCCATTGAGACATTTAACGTATACTTCTAATTGTTACCAGCAGATGGCAACAGAAGACTGAGGTGAAGGTCTCAATACAGGCCGCGCGGACAGAGACCTCTCTGACGTTCATTATTCAAATTCATAATTTCCAGCACGCTGTTGAAGGTTCAATTTCTTAACGTTTTACAGCATTTGTCACCGTCCAGCTTTGCTGAATTAATTGTAGGGTTAGGCGGGGTGAGATGACCCACCCACCTTAGCCTACCTTTTCTCTTGACCATAGATGATCTCAACAATAATGAATCCACGCCATTTTTAAACTTGTCATTTCCTTTGAAAGCAACATCCGTTATATTCAGTCAATTGAAACAGATTTGACGTTGTGTAATGTTGAGTTTTTATGGAAATAGGAACTGAGATTTGTGCTAATAGTTGTATTTGCTTATTACCCCATTGAGACATTTAACGTATACTTCTAATTGTTACCAGCAGATGGCAACAGAAGACTGAGGTGAAGGTCTCAATACAGGCCGCGCGGACAGAGACCTCTCTGACGTTCATTATTCAAATTCATAATTTCCAGCACGCTGTTGAAGGTTCAATTTCTTAACGTTTTACAGCATTTGTCACCGTCCAGCTTTGCTGAATTAATTGTAGGGTTAGGCGGGGTGAGATGACCCACCCACCTTAGCCTACCTTTTCTCTTGACCATAGATGATCTCAACAATAATGAATCCACGCCATTTTTAAACTTGTCATTTCCTTTGAAAGCAACATCCGTTATATTCAGTCAATTGAAACAGATTTGACGTTGTGTAATGTTGAATATCGAGTTTTTTTTTGTTTTGTTTTTTTTTATATGAGGGATCTGTGGACACATCAGTGTTATTATTTGTGGGGTAAAAGTTATATTTATTATTTTGAAGTAAAATGTTTTTGGGTAAGATGAGCCCCCTAGAATTGGTACAGAAGGCTCAAATGGCATGTTATTACTAGTGCTTTTTTTTTTTACTGAATACTTATTGTAATTTATGGGGTTATGTAATATTTCCATGAATTATTTCAAACATCTTCACTTTCTTTAAAACATATAGGTCAAAACTGAGTGAAATAATTAAATTTGCATTCATAGTGTTGCAATTAACATATCTTTAAATAAAATATTGGCAATTAAATACGTAAATTTTCATTCACCTGTATATAAGTCTTAGAATAATTGTATCTTTCAAAAACTAAATTGTCAAAATCAAATTTTAAATAGAATAGTAGATTTAGTATTTTATATTAATGACATTTTTAAAATATATTTAAATATTAGAATAAGAATTATATCAAAAGTCATTTGTACATTCTGTAAATGTTTATCCAGGAGGCTTCTTACCGCACAATAGGTGCCATTTTACCCCTCTTTTAATATTTTTGCTATAACAACTAAATAGCAAATGCCTGTATTTATTTTCAATAATAACTCATCCTGCGCATGCTAACCTTACATCTAAATATGTTACAATTTAAAAGTATATCCATATTCTTCAGAGTAGATAGTAAAGGTGCTCCAAGAATGTGTTTTATTTTAAAAAAAAATTTTTTTTTAAACATTTCAAATCACTCAAAAATGTAAAAATACCAACACATTCATATTTAAAGATAAAACTGTTTTATCACTGTTTATTTGTCAACAAAAAAAATCCGAAAACAGAAATGGGTTTTTTACGTCTTTTCTAATGAATAACTTTGACCTCCACAGAACTAATAGATTTTTTGAACAAAAAGTAGAAGGCCATAATGAAATAAGTATAAATAAAATAAAAATAATAATAATCAACATTAATAAAAACATACATTTAAAACTTAAATAGAAAAAATAACATATTTACATTTGGTATGTATTAAAAAATATGCATATAATCTCAATTTCCAATAGTTTGTTGGACTCACGAACTAAACTAAATGCAAAAACTCCCAAATGCTACTTTTCTTATATTCATATATACATAAATGCATCAATAATTGTAATACACTTGTTCGTACCGAATACATACAGCAGTCTGAAAACATCACCACAAAATTAAAGGGTATTACATGTGCAAAATATGTCATAGAGCCACTGAATAAATAAGCTGTGAATATCCAGATACTCGGGCATGCCGGCCCTCGGTGAAAACATGCCCAGTGTGCATGTGTGGCTTTGATTAGTCTGCTATGTGTGCAAGTCCGGACGAGCATAAGCCCATTGTTCTCTTTTATGACCATCTCTGCTGTGTTGTCATAGCGCCCAGGCCTTGAGCTCCAAAGTAAGCTGGTGTCCGGTGTGGTAAAGGTCCAGGCAGGGGCTGAATCATCCCATTATCCAGGTCAAACTCCCATATGTTATCATAGTCCATTTCCTGGTCATCTGGATCCACTGGACGAAGGTAACAGTCATCTGTGAGAAGCAAAAGACAATGATTAATGTCTTCAAATACTTAAAATATTTAGTTTAAATCCATGATTTTTTCCATGATTGATCATGCCTGGAAATCACAGCTGTAAAATTCCCTGTTTTCAAGGATTGAAAGGTACCCTACTCTTATGGAATGAACTTCCGAAACTGGGATTTAGTATGTAAAAATGTATTATTTAAATCAAAATCCACATGCCAAGTTTAAGAAGTTAGTAAACTGAGCCATCTAAATACTTCATGCCCTAATTTAAGATCTAACATATCGTTTGTTGTGTTCTTTTCCACAGAAGGGATCTAAATGTCTTGCAGAATCTCCCACTTGTGAGCTTTAAATCACCCTCGGTGGTAATTCTGTCCATTCGCTGGTCTTTCCTTCATGTGCCACCTGCAGTGCTGTCATTTAAAATACCCTGGGCCTGAGCCGTCTTACACACACAAACATACACACACATGCCCCTTCATCTGCACTCTTGTTTCCACTGTCATGTCCTGCCTGGGCAACCACACCCCATCAAACCCTGCGTGTGTGTGTGTGTGTGTGTGTGTGTGTTTTGGAGAAGGTCATTCTAAAACCATCCTATTAGCTGTGCCGTGAGAGTCTGCTCTATGCACGTGTCACCATGGATTATTTCCTCCTTATGGTGTTGTGTTTAAACCTGACAAGTGAGTGTGTGTATACATGACAATTAAGCTATTCATATAAACATTTTTTTTTTTCGATCAGTTGAACCAGTCTATAAAACATACTGATGATCTAGGTCAACATTTCACACGCTAAACAAAACCTGTGTCCACAAAACTGGTCGTGCAACTCGCTGTGTATATCTTGCATATCTATTTCTCTATCTACATCCGTGAAACGTGCATAACATCGTGCCATTGTGGTGCTGTAACTGCCTCCTAACTTTAGCATGTCAAAAATTCTCACCTGGTGAGTAATTGTACGATATCTGCTGCGCCTCCATGACAGTGTGACCTGAGAAACCTCTCTGTAAAAGACAGGAGAACAGGAGATCATTTTCACATACTGTTTTGAAGCTACATTCATGTAGAGCAATATTTCTGTCTTCATAATTTTTTTGTCCTAATAATTCATTACAATATACATTTTGTACCTTTCAAAAGTTCGAGGACAGTACGATTTTTTTATTCAGCATAGGGGGAAATTAAATTGATCAAAAGAGACAGTAAAGACATTTATAATGTTACAAAAAAAATCAATTTTCAATAAATTCTCTTCTTTTGAATTTTCTATTCATCAGAGAATCCTGAAAATTAAATACAGTATATCACGATTTCCACAGAAATATTAAAGCAGCACAATGGTTTTCAACATTGTTAATAATAAGAAATGTTTCTTGAGAACTAAATCAGCATATTAGAATGATTTCTGAAGAATCATGTGACTCTGACTGAAGACTGGCGTAATGCTGCTGAAAATTCAGTTTTGCATCACAGGAATAAATTGCTATTTGAAATATATTAAAATAGAAAACAGTTATTTAAAATTGTTTTTAATTAATTTAATTTAATATTATTTCACAATTTTACTCTTTTTACTATATATTTGATCAAATAAATGCAGCCTTGGTGGGCATACGCAAAAACATTAAGAAATCTTACCAACCACAAACTTTTGAACTGTAGTGTACATTGAAAAATACAATTCAAATGTGCAATGACATAAAGGGGTCCTATTATGCTTTTTCACTTTTTCAACTTTAGTTAGTCTGTAATGTTGCTGTTTGAACATAAAAAAGATCTGCAAAGTTACAAAGCTCAAAGTCCACTTCAAAAGGAGATATTTTATTTAATAGAAATCACTTTTCAAAAACTACAACGAACGACTCGTTTGGACTACAACGCATATTTTCCGGGATTTGTGATATCACAAAAATCGACGAATGGGACGAGACCTGGTTGAGCTGCACTAGAGAAGGCAACGAGTGTTATCACTATGTCGGAGACATGCTAGCTTTCACAAGGCAGACGAACTTAGAGTGGTTACAATCATCCGGGTTTAAATCGCGCTCAAATTGATTTGATTTTGACGCAATATTTACACTGAAGCTCACAGGCAGTTATGGTAAGGGGCATGACATTTCCCGACCAGGCACCGAGTGCTGCCAATCACAACACACACTGGCCCAGCTAACCAATCACAACACATTTCGTATTTCAGAAGGCGGGCCTTCATTTGATACAGGAACTATTCGAGCGTTCATGCCAGACTGGGGAGAGAGGTATTGTAATAATGTAAAATATGTGGAAAATAATGTGTTTTTCGAACAACCTAGTATGAGAGCCTGTTCTAGTACACCCCCAAAACAAAATCAAGACTTTGTAAAAGAGCATAATAGGACCCCTTTAACAAAAATTTATTTTGATATTTTGGGGGGAATAAAGTCAAAAATGTCTGGTTGATACAACTATCCTGATATCATAATGAAGCAAAAAGCCTCATTTAAAAGAATAAAAGTCTTTAAATCTACTACCATCCCATTACCTGAGAGAGGAGTTTGTGTTCTGGCTGTCGGTTTGGGGTGGGCAGTAACTTCAGTTTGGAAACGGCCTGGGCACGTAGCTCTTCAGACCACTGACTGCTGACCAGCTCGGGCTCCAAGGCCTGGCCGTGTCTGATTTTCCGCCCAAGAGGAGGAGTGCAGAGCCGGAAGGAGGGAGGAAGGAGAGGAGGATACGACTGCTCCATGGAGCCCCGAGAAGAGTGCTGTGTAGCAGAAAAATATGCACTTCATGAGATTTGCACTCACTCAAAAGGGTGATTTAAAAGATAGCATTGTGAACTAAACCTGACGTACTCCGCTGATTAAAGGATTTAGACCTAAACCAGTTATGTAATCCAGGTTTGAAAACCCAACAAGTGTAAACCTGCATTCCATGTAGAAATATTGTCTCAAATGTGCAAGTTAGAAGGGATCACGCTTTGTCTCATTCGCTCAGCAGCCTTTTTCATTATGCATCTGGATGGATCAATAAGTAATGTAGGCTATGGGGACTTTCCATGGCTATAGCTCGTCAAATCAGCGCCCCTGCTTTCGGGGTGTTTGGTCACCGCGGTGTCAAGTGAGAGAGCGGATCTGATATCCTGACCCACTTACCGACGCATGTGCAGAGCTCTCCTCCAGAGGGTACATACTGGGGGTGCTGGGGTCGTCATAAAGAGGCGAGAGAGGTTTGCGGTGGCCGATCAATTCTGAGTGGCGGTGTGGAACTAAGAGCTGGTGTTTGACATTTGTCTGCGGCGTGCTCCAGCTGTTTGACTGAATAAAGACAGATGGAAAAATATAAGTTATACTTGTTTTTATGCATTCTATTTCCCCCAAAAGCCAAAATTCAAAACTGATGCAAATAATGTAAATTTCACCTGTCTTCAAAGTGAAAAAACTGTTCTAAGTAGGGCATCAGATTATAGTCATGCTCTGCTACCTTGACTAGCGGGGCCTTCTCGATGCGTTGAACGGGGCCATTGCAGTGCACCGAACTGTACGGCGTGTTGTAAACCGGTGACATGGGCCCCTCTGAAGCGAGATAGGACGTCTGTGGAGGGGAGGAGTAGTGGAGTGAAACAGGACGGTGGTCAGGGGCTGGTCGGACACGAGAGGAGAAGCTGCTGCTCCTGCTGCCCAGGTGAGCTGAGTACTGTGTGTCTGAAGAGTTAGGCCTGCTGGAAATGAACTGTACCAACACACACAACACAGAAACTGATTAACTGGACTCAGGGCCGTTTCTAGGCATAGGCGAGCTAGGCGGTCGCCTAGGGCGCCACCAGCTGAAGGGGCGCCAATGAGCGCACGTACTGGCACTTTTAGCAGGGTTGTGATAAAGAGTGGCATGGTCACCCTGAAATATGACTGCCGCCCCCACTGGATCCCCCAACATTATTGGGCTAGAGTACTGTCAATCTGACGATGCCTGTATGCCACTAGATCAGAGTGCTGTCAATTGCTGCCTGATTGTTGCATGCAAAGTTTGCATTTGGAGCGCTCAACAACGGCATTAGATCAGTGGGCTCTGTCAGTGCTTTGGCAAGGTAACACTTTTTTTTTTGCCATGCAATAAAGCTAAGTTCAAAGGCCAATTTAAAATATTGGTACAGTAAATAAAGTGCACAAAATCAGTATTTTGTTTAGGCAGTATTTGTGGCACTTTTGTGGCACATTTGTCCAAATATTTGTGGCAGATTTGTCCAAAAGGTGTGCGTTTTTTGCGCCAATGCATTGTTAAAGGATCAGCGTGTCATGTAATATTCCCATATAAACTTTAACATCCAATTAAAAAATATTTGTATAGTAAAATTCGCTAATTCACGAGATCAATACATCCTTTATTAGACCGCTTTGTCGAGTTAAATGCATCCTTACGGAGGTGTCGAAATGCTGAATCAATTCAATTCAATAAGGATTTCGCCTAGGGCGTCAAATTGGCTAGAAACGGCCCTGACTGGACTGTATTCACATTCTTCTACCAGATTACAACAAACTTTGTACTCTGTTCGACAACTTTCTACTATCCAATCAATTTCAGTGGATTGAATCTAGTGCTAAAAAGTTCTAGTCGTACATTTTTTCTGTTTCAATCAAAAATATTTAGCTTTACAGAGTCAATTGTTGGGTTGTGTATGTGTAAATCTCAAATGTGATTTTAAAAGTAAAAGAGTTTTTTAAAGTTCTTTTTAAGAGTTTGAAAAACTAGAATAAAGAAAGTATTATGGATACTTTTGGAGGATACTTGGTAAATAGTGTTTAGTACTAATCCACAAGAGTCTTGTAGGTGGTAACAGACGGAAACTGATTGCACACATGTTAATTATTAACAGCCCAACTGAAACACTGCTGATCTTGTTCACAACCACATGTGCTGCTCCTCCAAAATAAACATGAAAGTCATTCTTATGAATAATGCCCCATATTTTAAATCTGTGGATAACCACTGCCTAACCCAATTTCATTCTAGATATGAAATCAAACTGTGCAAGAGCAGTTCACCTGGAAAACTAGGAAAACCCATTGCGGATGTGCAAATATGTTCACAGCTTGATGTTAATGGGTTTGGGTTGTTGAGATAGACACTTACACAGAGAGGCTCAGCATAACCAGGGGAAATAGGGTTGTCATCGGCACTGGGCAGCTGGAGCTCATGGGGTCTGCGTTTGTCCTGGGACTGCCTTAGTGGGTCGGTAGCTCCATGGCTGCTGCCGCTCCACCTGTCAAACTCTGGAGCCTGAGAGTAATGGAGGAGAAAGTGAATATCTCACAGCATTTACACGCAGTATCTAAGATATTCAACACCATGTCCTAGATGGAAGTGATCGCTCACCTGTTTCTGTGTTGGAGTGTAAATGATGTCATAGACAGGGGTAGGAGGGCTGAGAATGGGGACGTCAGCACTTTTGAAATACTGGATCCAGTCATTGAACTCGCTCTTGTCCAGACAGGACACGATGATGGGGTTTATCAACTTCCCTAAAGACAAAACCCACAAGAGTTAAGAGTCACATATGCATCTGGGCAGAAACAGGGCACAGCATGATAGGAAACCAGTCAGAGTTTACACTCAATCTTTATGGCACATATCAGATCTTTGCCAAGAACTATAACATCCGGCAACTGAAGTTTGACTTGTTAACTCACCCTCAATCATAAATGTGTTGGGCATGATGTCCTGGCAGGGAGTTGTAACTGTGATCATGTTGAGAGGAAGTTTGCCCTGCAATTGCAAATACATTCAAGATTATTTTCCTCACTGGATTATGTAATGTTGCAGCTGTATTCATTTGTGCAGATGAAATTATTTTGAGATACCTTGTAAAAGAGGCCATCACTCTCTTCTGACAGAATTATGAGATAGTTGGGATACAACACCAGCAGACGGTCATACTGCTCCTGCAGCCAAACAGAGGAATTGAATCACATTCATTATTGCTTATATAGGCTTACACTACAGTAAAATAGGCAAGAAGCTAATATTGAGTAACTTGTTTTAGTCACTTTATTGCAGTTACTTTATCTATTTTTGGTCCACCAACAAACTATTTCCAAATAAGCAACATAGCTGGTGTGGGTCTGTAAGCAAGTTGTGTCCGCAAACGATTCAGAGTTTTTGAACAAATCGATCGAAAGACCGATTAAATGACTTACTCATTAACTTGCTTAATTCCTAAGTGAATCAGTATGTTTGAACAAATAGTTTGAGTGAATGATTCATTGACTCACGGCTAGTGATGGTAGAAATTAGCTCTTCGAAAATCTGAATCAAAATGATTCTTTTGTTTTGAAACGCTGAAAAAATGCAGGCTGGCGTTACCTGCTGGTCAAAACGGTGTAAATGCAATGAGCTCAACCTTTTAAAAACCAATTACAACTGCTTTTATGAAAGTGCAATCTATTAAATGTAATCTACAAATCATTATATCATTAAATATGAAGAGTTTGAACAATTATTTATTTTTTTATTTACTTTTATTAAAGGGCTTGGTTACTTGGCTAATTAGACAAATTAAAAACAATTAACTATCACTGTTCCTTTTTTTAATCATACGCACGTTTATGGAAATTCAGTAAAACTGAACCAATATTATATAACTAACAAGAGATTAGTTAAAATCATAGACCCTATAGTTTACCAGTAAGAGCCCTTTAGCTGAACCATAAAAATTTTAACAGTTCCGAAACAGTATGACTTCATTTAGCCTTGTTTGCTGAAATTTTGGTACGAATCACGGATTCGAAACAAAAGATTCACAAAGGCTTTGAAGAATTGTTTCGAAAGCGCTAATCACGCGCAGCTTGTCTGGAACGCGCAAATACGGACAAGCGGAGTGAAACTATGGAACGCCAAACGGGTCACAATTCGCCATTAACCAGACGCCTGGTGTGCAGAAACAAACAGTGCTGTTGGAGCGAATTGGAGGCATAGGCGGAACGTGTGGAAGGCTGGGGAACGCTTAGCCTTCCCCTGGCCACGGGGACTTGGGGCAAAAATGGCACTAAATTGGACAAAAATGCCCCTGCACAAATAAATTAAATCTATTACGTCTGTTGCCAACAAAGTGAATATGAATAGACAGTGTCGATTGCGGCATTAAATTAAGATCTGCCCATATTGCACCGTATTTCATTTTAGGCGTTTGTACAGTGTTGCGCATTTGAACCAATCACACACAATTCTGTTGAGCTTAGGAATGCAATGGCCAATCAGAGGCGTTCAGATGTCATCGTTGAAACAGATCAGTTTTGTTGAGAGCGCGCGCGTTCGCTGACTGAATTCCGTACTCTTGCGAATTCTCTCATCATAAACAACAAAGCGCAGATGTATGTACAATGTACGTAAGAGATTCATTTCACAGTGTATACAGCTTCAGTGATTATAACGATAGTTTTGTTTTTTTGAAAGTGCTTAAACTCGCGATAGATCAATGTTAGTGATAATGTCACTTTCTATATATAAAGTATTCGCTGTTTGAATAACCTTGGAAAGGAAACGTTATATAATTATCAATTTCTAATGTTTTTATTCAATTGTAATCTCGTTAAATACAAATTCAGTCCCATTAAACATTTTTTAGCCTACATGACACCCATGTCTGGTTCTTGCCTAAAAAGACAGGTTTATGATGTTTAATACATTTGGCTGCTTTTAGCCTTACCCTGGAGTTGGTTCACCCTCCGCCTAACTGTTGTCTAGCCTAATCATATCTAAGAAGCTGACCATCACTTTGCACAGCAGTGTGTGAAGCACAAATTTCCCAGAGGTCTTGCTCCGACCACGAGTGTGTGTTTTAACTCAGGGTGTGTTCAAAGACAGCTGTTGGGTGAGTCAAGTCAAGTGTGTGAGGCAAGCAACTGGTTTACACACCCTTTTTCACAAGCAGATCCTCTCCGCTCTCACAGTACACTTAAGAAGGACTATCAGTTGCTCACCCTCCCTCACTCTCTGGGAAAGGTTTAGATATTTGGCCACACGTACACTGGATATTGGGTTACACTACAGTCCCCATAGTATGAACTGGCGTGCTTTGTGTTTGTATGCTGTCAGTTTGAGGAGACTTGCTGAAACCAGGCAGACTCTGACTAATGAGGGTAGTGTGAAAGTGGCAATGCCAATACAGACCCTAAGTGTAAACTGAGCTTGCTTTGCACCTCTTAAGAAAGCATGGGAGTGAATTTAGACCCTCCTCATGCTAAGACCAAACAATTAATTCAAAGGCTTTTCAAAATGTGAACGTCATTCTCAGTTGTGTAATGCCAATGCACAAGTGTTCAAGTGAACTTCACTGTAACTGTATTTCCTTATATTTTGAGTAATAAATGAAATTTCATTTTTGCTGTGTAATGTATGCTATTATTTTATGCCATTATATTTATGCAAATATTTTTTTTTTATTTCCATTTTTTTCAGGTTGTATAGATAATCAAACCAAAACAAAGGGCGAGATGATGAGAACATCCTGGAGAGCTCTTACCTGGCAAGGCATGTGTTGCAGCCTGACTTTTGTGGCGTAAGTGATGGGCCCTAGACTCTCTCGTTGCAAGCCCTCCCACTCATAAATGGGCTCTTTACTGATGGAGTTCCTCAACTCCTCCTTTTCCACTTTGGTCTCTTCTGAGCACTGCACCTTTGGAGGCAATATTGGGTTTAAATCCATGTTCAAAAGTAAAAACTGGCATGACGTGTCTTATGATATGGGAAAGATAAGTCATCAGCATTGGGGATTTCAAAGAAATCATTGCTTCTCGATTGCTAGTCCCTGCCAATTATGGGATGCCGATGTTTGGCTCAGTGAGCTCACTTGCTGCAATAGCATGATGTGTCAGAACAGGAAAGAAAACATGTCTTTTTCAAATCCAGCTAAGGTGACCACAAAAGAAACCACTCCCTTATGAAATCCCAGAGGACAATGACCAACATTAGTCACTCTGACCTGAATTAACACCTTTTTTTTTTTTTTTTTTTACATGTTCACTGTCTTATACTTCAAGTTTGCAGCTAGCAAATACAGGTAATTCTGATTAAAGGTAGATTTTCCAGTACCTTAATTCTTGTGTATGTCTCTGGTACGATTGCACTGCCACCATTGGCCTCGATTTGTTCTTTCAAAAGCCCAAACCAGTTGTTCATCTCCTCTTCTGTCAAGCAGTACACGATGATAGGATTTAAGCTGACCCCTACAAAGGTCAAAGACAAGGGGTCAGAGGTTAGGTCAGATGACTACGACCAGTGACCATCTGGATCTCTTTAAAACCTGCAACAGGTTGCTGAATATTTTGGTGAATCTCTTGTTTTTAAGTATAGATGCATTCGTCTAGATACTGTTGCTCTGTTTCATGTCACTGTTGACACTTCTGACCCTGAGAGCAAATAATCTGTTTCAAGAGCTCTTAACATTACAACATGCCATGTATTTGCAGGAAACCAGTTGTCCCTTCTTGAAAACAGCTATTCTGACAGTATGCATCAAACCTGGAATCTCCCTTTTATCAGACCCACATTCCAGCCATTATCAGCGTAGATATCAGCCACTCTGACCTGCCCTGTACAGTCATTTCCAGTTAGGTGTGATGTGTTCTTAGCAGAGGCATGTGTTCATGTGCAAGACTTGGTCATTTTTCCCTCCCCCCAGAATACATATATAGTCAGGACTGGAAATGCTGCTTTGTGCCTCATAGATTCACAAATCTCACTCCCAGCATTAATCTAAGACATCATCTTTACAATCTAAAATACAGTAGTGAGTCCTATCTGATATAATATTGTGGCAAATAAGAAGATTTATGTGACTTAACATCACATAACAGTTAAGCTTTAATTCTTTTTCATTCAATCATGGCCACATTGACTCATCTTCCGAGAACGTTAAGCATAGTTTGATGCATTTTGTTGATTGCTCAGCGTGACAAAACAATAAAGTCAATATTTTCTTATGTGGTAAATTCTCATAAAAATTTTATAAGCAAACTTGTGTGTTCAGGTCCAGTGCTCTGGAATGTGGAGTACTTTAACTGTGAAGGAGAGGTGAAGAGGGAAAGGGCCCTCATAGCTCCACAGCTGAGCGAGTTCAGGCGCACCTGTCGTATAACAAGGGGGGTCTTGAGGACAATTTATCTCTCTTCTGACTAGTGGCAAATGGAGGAGGGTTTACTTTATGTTAGTGCTTTTGAACCTCTGGAATGTCCGAACATGGGAAGTGGTTTTGGGCCTACATAGTGTGGCTTTACAATGTAAGCCTCACCCGTCTTTTGTTTTCTGGTTAGTTGAGAGTCACAAATTCCACTCTTAAATATATAACTGAGAATAGCAGGGTTTGGAATTTTAAAAAAGACCTCCAAAATGTAAGAAATAAAATATTAGAGAAACACAAAACTTTGTATTGTGCAATTATTATATGTATGATAACTAAATCTCCCCATCACTTTATCTTTTTGTTTCATGCCTACCTTTTCCTGTTTGTTCAACCCTGGATTATCAAGCACACTCACCGTTTATCTGGAATGCAAATTCCTGCGGATCACCAAAGCTGTTCCTGTTCTGCAGCTTGCAAATTGTCAGCTCTTTGAGAGGAAGTGTTCCCTGTACAACAAAAATAAATCATAGGGAGTTTAGTAGTCTGACTTTATAGTGAATTAAATAAACATTTTTATATAGAGAGCCATTAGAATATCTACATTGAAAATATGGGATTCAAAATAATTTATATATTTATTTAATTTTTAAAACAGTAAAAAAAAACAATTTGACAATAAAATTACAATTTATATTATATAATAACATTTTATATATGAATAACTTTAATTTAAAACTTGGAATGATTAGAAAGTTTTAGGATTTTATTTTAATTTGATAAAAAAAAAATGTTACATTGTTATGAAAATGATGACACTTTAGATGTCTGTCACTTTGACACATTCAGTATTGCACAATACTCTTTCAATGATAATGAACATTTATTACCGTCGCCTCCCAGTGACTCAGGTTAATGAATACAGCCACAATAAAACCTGATTAATACAGGTCACAAATTTTATGATTGAATACAACTTAGTGTGGCACTTTTGGCATGGAGAGGTGACACATTTAACATCATCATAAAGCATAGAAAATCTGTAATATCCGTCTCCGTTACTGCATGACTCAAACGACAGTTCGTGCCTAAGGCAGTGACACAAGCATGGACATATATGGAGCTCCTTTACATTTCGGCCTGTGGTATGCATTGTTTTTTGTGTGTAACAAAATGAGTACAAGTAGGTGCATCTTTTACCTGGTATGTGAGTCCAGTTGTGTTGTTAGAGACAAAATGAAGATGGGTTTGGAACAGGTCCAGATAGCAGTCATGCACATCCTGAAAGAACAGACACATTCCATCAGCTCAGCATCGATACAATCAGAGGATCATTCTGGGTAATGCTGCTTTATACGTTTGAATTCAACAACACAGGAGGATTAAAAGCTTTCACTCTCCCATAGTCTGAATAGCAAGATTTTCAAAGGTCATGTTGAAGGCAAACTCCAAACAAGATGCAACATTTCACCCAGACAAAATAAAAATAAAAAATAGACAGGGCATTAATATGTGGTAAATGTAGCAATCTTGCTCACAATCCCTGGAATGAATGGTTAAATACTCCTGTGTAAATCAAGTCTCTGTGAATACTTTCTGAGAAGTGTTTGTTTGCTTTAAAGACTAGTTTAAAGCAGCTAATGTTGATTTATCACAGACAGCTCATGTCCTTTCATCTGATCTAGGTCTTTACCACATGTTAAAGAATATGCCATTATCACAAATAGGTAACATTTCCTTTCAACTGTAATGTCACCGCTGTACAGTATGTTCCACTTTGACCTCACCCTGTGTTGGGTTATTTTTCTTCCCTCACCTTCACAC